TATGAGATGGAAGTAGTGGTGGTTAGAATGAAATACGTGATGAAAAGTGGAATGTGAAATGAACATGAAAGAAAGCTTCACTTTTCATGCAAATTTTATTTTATTTTTTTATTTTTTTTATGAAATGTGAGAAAAATGAGATGAAGAAACATGAAAAGGAAACTATCGGCATAAGACAGAGATGAAATTTTCATTTTTTTTTTTTGCATTTTTCATCATTTTTTTATGCAACTTTTATGCGATGGGAAACATGAGGTAAAATAATGATGCTTGGAGTGAAAATTGGGATCAAAGGAGAATTGTTTAACCTAAGATTCCTTAACATGGTATTGCTTCATCACCCAGATATCAAAATGCCCGGTTTCAACTGACCCAACAGCCGATAGACACCCATTGAGCATTGAGCATGGAAAGACTGTAGTGATCTGACACAAGTCGTTGACAAGGTGGGTGCGGAATTTCTTTGAACACCTCATCTGCAAGATCGAAGGAGATAATACCAAAGATAGGACCGTCTCCTCCCATCCCAACCAAAGCCACCCAATGGAGAGATCCTTCATCCAGTTCTTCCACATCTAGCGCCAGGTCTCCTACCATAATGGTCTTCTCATAGTACACAATCCTGTTCTCAAAAGAAGTGGAAGAATTAATGGTTCAGGTGTTTACTGTAGGAACAACAGAGTGGAGAATGAAAGAACCTACGACTCCACAGTTGGCAGATGTAACGGGACCACCTGAGGTTCTCGTTGAAGGATCTCTCCATTGGGTGACTTTTGTTGGGATGGGAGGAGACGGTCCTATCTTTGGTATTATCTCCTTCGACCTTGCAGATGAGGTGTTCGAAGAAATTCCACACCCACCTTGTCAACGATTTGTGATACGTGAGTACAGTCTTTCGGTGCTCAATGGGTGTCTATCGGCAGCTGGGTTAGTTGATACTTTGCATTTTGATATCTGGGTGATGAAGCAATACCATGTTAAGGAATCTTGGGTAAAACAATTCTCCTTTGACCCCTGTTCTCCTGGTGAATGGCCAAGCTACTCAAGAATATTTCCCGAATTTATATGTGCACTGAAGAATGGTGAGATTCTGTTGCGTTATGATGACAATTCTCTGGTTTCTTATGATCCTGTGGAAAAAAGATTCAAGACTCTTCAAATAAGTGGGTTACCCAATTATTTCCAGGCACTTCCTTTTCGACTTCTCTTTTCTCAGCAAAGGCAACCATGAATTTGTAACTTTAACGCTCTCTCTTGAATCAACCCTTTTCCTGTAAGACTCTACTACTAGTTTTCAGTTTGTGTTGAATCTTTTATCATCAATGCATCAGCAACAGTTGTGTTATTTACATCATCATGGGTTTTTTCTGTAAGACTCTACTACTAGTTTTTAGTTTGTGTTGAATCCTAATTTGATCATCAATCCATCAGTAACAGTTGTGTTATTTACATCATCATGGATGACCTCTGTTGTATGGCAATGAGATCCATCTTACTATTATCTGCCTTTTTCTCAAAAAGCAGTTCTGAAGAATGGGGAGATTGTGTTGGAGTGTAACAAGTGTCATAATGCTCCTCTCGGAATGGTGATTGAAGATTTCGCTTCGAGCTGGGTGAGAAGATTCATAAGAGTTTTATGTGTCTTGAAGAACGGGAAGATTATGTTGGAGTGTAACAATAAAGCTCTGGTTTCTTATGATCCTAAAACTGACAGGTTGAAGGCTCTAAAGATCAACCGACTCCCGTGGCAGTTCCAAGCTTTTGCGTTCCAGCATACCCTGGTCTCAGTAAAGGAAACCTCTAAAATAATCTTCACACTCTTTAGTATACGGACATATAATTTCCTTTGCTTTAGTCAGGCTTCCACTGTTTATATATTGATTAATTAATCATGTTTTGTAGTCACTTGAAGTTGTGACTAACTCACACAAAGCAGAATGCTGACAGGTTTCATCATGTAATATTGTTCCTAAGAAATTAACGATTTGATGATGTGATTTGTCAAATATGCGGGGGATGTGATTATTGTTATTATAAAAAATGTAATTAAGTTTTTAATTTTTTTAGGTTAAAACCCTATTTTGGTCCCTGAACTATTGTACGGACCCCTGATTTGGTCCATGAACTAAAAAAATCCCTGATTTAGTCCCTGAACTAAAAAAATCCTTGATTTGGTCCCTACTGTTTACTATTTTTACCCCGATTTGGTCCTTCCGTTAAAATCTCACCATTATCTCACGAAAATTTAATGACATGGCAAACATTTGAGACACGTCAGTTGCATAAATGAATAAATAATTACATGGCAACGTGACATGTCATGTCTTTGCCCAACCCAACAAAAGTGGGGTTCACCAAAATTACGAATTTGCCATCATCTTCTTCCTCCAGCAAACAAACCCAGCACCTGGGTTGAATCGAACCCAACAATGCCCTTTTTTTTTCCTTCCTCTTCCTTGCCTTGCTTTCTTCATCATCATCAAACAC